ATATATGTTAAACTACAACTGATAAACTTTATTTTAATATAAAAATAAAAATTATTTCTTATTAAATTATAAATTTTTATATAAAGAGAAAATTTCAATTTTCACTATGTTTTATTAGTAAATTTAGCCCCTGAGTCATTACTTTTGGTCACTACTGTATAGTTATAATAGCTAATCAGAATTATGACATCTATTACTAATAATTATTAATTATTTATCAAAAATTTGAATATATTTACTTTATGCACATATAAATTTTAATTATTATATTAGAAATAGCTAAATTATTCTTTAAAAATATTTTTTAAATTATATAAATTATCTTATAAAATAATTTTAGATCATGTTATTAAATTTACAAGTTATTTTTAAAAATCTTTATTTAAATAAATTAATATAAAATTAGTTATATTAATTATATTTTACTTATAATTAGATAGATAAATAAAAAGAATAAATTATATTTTAAAAGAATATTTTAAATTTATTTAACTTATACCATATAGCACTGCTTACAGTATCACCAAAATATAGTACCCTCCATTATTAAGACCCGGGTTTAATTTTTGCCAATTCTTTGATTAGTACCCCTCTATTATACAATATCTATAATATAATACTATCCGAATAAAGTACCAGTTCCGCATAGAGTACCCGGGGTACTATTCAATTTTAAAGAAAGGCATTCTTGATTAAGACCCGGAGTACTGTAAGCAGTGCTATACGGTAATTAAAATCACTAGAATAAATACCTTGCTAGAATTTTTAATGTTGCTTTTGGTAACGTTGATGAAGGTAAAAATTTTTGAATTTAAGGGATCACATCAATGTTGATAATACAGAGTAGGAATTTTTGTAGGAATTTCTGGGATCTATGCGTACGCGTTTCGGGTTATTTTTAAGGTTTCGTCACATATTACCCATAGAAGCACAGAATATTCCGTGATCACGAGATTTTTCGTTGCGACGGCAACGTGATGTTTACCGCAACTAAAATATAACGAATACGATTGCACAACATATTTGACTATTTCTAAGCATATTCTGACACTCGTTAAGTGAGTTACTAAACTTAACATCATATTAAAGATTTAATTTTACCTATTGTTCAGAAACAATTTTTAATCATATATTTATTTTGAGCTCAAAAGAATATAATCAGTTCGGTTGTAAATGTCTTGAATTGGAGTTTCATTTGAGAAGGGTTTAGGAATGAAAAGATTTTTTAGAATAATGTATATCTCAAGAATAATTTATGAGCTCGGCATGTGTAGCAAATGCTCATTATAATCACCAATTTTTTAATTGTTATTAAGGAACATAAATAACGGTAGCTATAAACTATTTAATTATTGCAATAGAATGTGTACATTGATAACGGGATAATACGGCCCGATAGACTCAAAATTGATCTTTTGAACTACCATAAATAACATTGCATTTATGCAATTCAAATAAATTAAGGTCATATCGCTTTGAGATCGCGAATTAGCAATATATAAATTACGCGATAACCATTAATATTAATGAAGTCTTTACTGGACTGATTAGTCGTGACTATCGCTATACATTGTTAAAGTTCAAGATAATCTTTGAAAAGTGTTTTCTAAAAGTGCAATAGACGGTCAAACGATTGACAGTACTCAATATTAGCGCTTTTTAAATTCGCTTTATCTTGGGCATCTAGCATTCATTGAATTATGAGAAACGATTGGTTTTCCAACCAAATAAAAATTTTGTTCTGTTTCGACATCGCATCCATTTAATTACAAGATTAAAAAAATATATAAAAAGTGTGAACTGGGGTGTTCAAGATCAAAAACTATAACTCATTACATTCCCCCTAAGGTGCATAGAACCTTCCCATCAACTAACATACGGTCATGAAGGTCCGGAATTTCGATCCGATGCACAAAACGTCGCGTGACATTAAACTAATATATTTTTACGTAAATTCGTTTCCAGCAGGACAGCTCTTTAATCGAAAACCATGGCGTTCAAAACTTAGCTGGCTTTCTTGCCGATATAAAACCCTGTGGACGATACAAAAGGGAAAAGTGGAAAAGAAGTAAGCTTATGTTAAATTAAAAAAAACTTTCAACGGATGTATTTCAAATGATAATTCGTCAGGAATGGGCGGGTTTGAGCGAATACCTCTTTCTTCGATCAAAAGGCGAAAAAATAGATTATTAAAATTTTGCATGTATCTGTAGCTAGTAACCATATCTGGCAATGAACGCATGGATAAAAAATGAACACTAGAAATTTTTCAAATTTCGTATTCGTTTGCGTGCTTTAACAATTACTGTATTGGTGGAGGTGTGCGCCACTTAAACGTTAAAGGATTCGATCATTTGTTGTACCACAATGGTGTCATTTTACGTATAAAATGTATAACGATAAATAAAAAACCAAACTTAATCTTTACATGTTACAATGATGTCATCATCATTAGGATAAATTTATCTTTCTTGGTACTGATTACAAATACATGTATAACGATTCAAAAGAAAGATTTTTCTTTATTTGGAAGATATCATCATTGTATGGTCAATGTGTCGAATAAATATGTTTTATTCGGTGGTTCTTTTATTCCTTTTTTATTATTAAGCACATACCAAAACACACATCAGCGCATATGCACATTGTATTATTGTTTGTCACGCTTTTGTTATAAAGGAAATTTTCGAGATGTCATTTCGGTACAAATAAATAAATCATCAAATGAAATAAAAAAAGGCGAGACTCTCTTTTTTCAATTTAATTCAAAATAATTGCAAAAATAAACAATAAGACAAAGTAAAAGCAAAGCAGATCAAAATCTCGATTCGTCCTATTCTTATTTGGGGTATGCAATTATTTTTCTTGGCACCATTCATCATCATTGTTTTCGTATCGTTATGAATTGATGATCTCTGATATCGATATATATATATATTAGTATTATTATTATTAGCGTCTTTTTTGTTCACACTCTCGCTCGCTTTTAAATTTTGTTTATATAAACAAAAAAATCAGTTAAAATGACGGAAAATAAAATAATAACATTCTCACAAAGTAATAAAATTGATGATCACGAAAAACAACAACAAACATCGAGAAATAACAATGTTAATACAATCATTAATATGGCGGAGAGACTCTCGCCTCAAGCACATGAAGAAATTTATAATAGTTTACCAACATCAACAAATCAACGAAATCATCCACACTCGTCTTCTCGACCCTCTCTTATCTCGAAAATTTCGTCAGCGAAATCATTATCGGTCCCTCGAGATGAACAACAATCAACATCAATGACACCCGAAGAAATAACGACATCACTCAAAGAAAATGTAATTGAAGCGTTGAAGAATCCTATCGTAATTGCTATAGTGATATTAGCCGTTATCGTAATTGTTGTTGGTGGTGCATTGATCCTGATGGAATTGAATTTGTTAACTTTGAGTAATGAAGTACAGCATGCTTTTTGGATAGAGGTTTTATCTCAAGGTAGTCAGTCAATTGTTATTATTTGAAAAAAGGAGTTTTGAGAATCGAAATAGCTAACATCTTTTTTTCGTTTTAGTATTAAATGCGATATTTACACTATTAACGATCGTGACTGTTCATTCACGGCTGATACCATTCAGACAAGCATTACAACTACAATACAACATTGACGGTGACAACGAAGAAATAAAAACTGAACGTCTACGAATTATTAAAAAGTATGTTGGATGGTATGATCCTGAAAAAGACTCCATGCAATTACTTTTATGGGTACTCGGACTAATCAACTTAAATACAGTCGCGCAAGCGGTGATCACATGTTTCCTATGGGGTGTAAGTTTTTATCTCGATTTCTTACACGTATGTTGTTTAAATTCACTCCTTTGCGTCTTTATTAATATTTATTTTTGTTCTAATAGTTTTCAGCATATGATGGATATGGTCATATTGTATTCCGAACAATATCTTCGATGCATCGACCAAATTCAGTATTGTATTGCTTCGTTGCGGTGGCAATTTTAACTTCCATTGTTTCCGGGATATTAATCTTATCGAGAGTTACAAAGCATAGACAACACCCATCACCACAACACAATCATAACAGTATTGATAACACACCAGTAATAGTTGTTAATGGTGACGCGAGCTCTCCAATTACGGTTGTAATTCCGCCAGAAGAAATATCAACAACGCCTGTTAATACAACAAACAACAGTCAATCTAACGGCAAAGAAAAAGCAACGATGGTGGACGGAATGGCTCACGCATGAGCATATAGATTAATTTTTTACGGATACAAAAAAAGACTTTCACACTTAAAATTTTGTAAATAGTACTAAAAATAACATATTTCATCGTAATAGAGGTTAATCTGTAATATTAATTAAATTAATGTATAACGTATGGGCAAAAATAGCTGAAAATTCACTTAAAGTCTTTAATGAGATAATCACATTCAAACTAGTCGCATGCATACACGGAACTTTTATAATTCCATTTGCGTTTGCATTTTGTATGTTACCTCTGATTGCCAGATATTCATTCGTCCCTTTGGCCCAAATTTGGTGATATATTTCATTTAACAGCAAGTTATACTCTAGTTATGAAACGTGTATAGATATTGATTCGTATTTTGATATCACGAGACTGATTTTTTTTGTAATTTGTATGTGGTACGACCTTCAAATTATGTTTTGCACTTCTTCACGATCCCGATATTTATGATTTAATATTTCAACAAAAAATTTGAATAATTAGAAGCTCGTTAACCGATTCTTGATTTATCATTTTTTTCTCATAGAAAGAGAATATTGAAGCATAATATGTATAATATTCTCAAGACTGAAGCTAGATTATTGTTATCTAATGAGTATAAAATGGAATATTATTCAGGGATCCAAGTAATATGCTACGATTATTAGATAGTAAAAGGATTGTTTCTCTTTATTTGCAGTAATTGTCTTTGATAGTTTTTGAACAAGAGCTAAAGCTGAATATAATCTAATAATAAAGAAAATTGATAATTTATTTGCTTCATATTTGCACATTTTGTATCAGATCTGCTACAAAAATTAATTTGTATATATTACATTATAGAGTTATCAAGTTAATTTTATTTTAAAAAGTAAATAAGGTTAAAAATTAAAGACAAGTTAATCATCAAAAGAAAGTCACAATTAGGATTTCCTTTTCCTTTTTGTTGATTGTTTGTTACTATCTTTTCGTGGTCTCTTTGCATAAACAGGAGATTTCCGACGCTTCTGTGGGATTTCATTAGCCTCATTATCATTAGCAGAATCTGAAATATCTGAATTTTCATCACTTTCGCCGTGGTCATCATCATTTGATTTCACTTCATCGTCCGAATTTTGTACCGATTCCGCTGTGGAAGATCTTCGTGTTGTATTTTTTGAACTAGAAGATGCTGTAGACTTTGATCTTGAATGCTGTATACATTTTAAATTAAATACATCATATTAAGAGCTCGTATTAAAAGTGAAAAAAAATAATACAATATATATATACTTGATTAACGGAAGAACTTTCTGCATCGGAATTTTCCTCTCTCTTTATTTCATCTTCTATTTCGGCGATATATTGCTCATCCAATTCCGACTCCGATTTATCTGATTCAGGTTCAACAAGTCTATCCGTGTTGACTTCATGCCCCTCCAAATCTCGTTGTTTTAGGTTTCCCAGGAAAAAGGATTCCGCAGCAAAATCATTGTGCTGCAGGATCCCCTTCACACGGAAAATTACGCTCTCTAAGGATTTCTTAACTAGAGGCACCATATTTGATAGCCTTACTTCTTTGACGACTTTTACGTGAATACAGAGAGCCTATAATTTCATGATGAAAATATTTGTTATACATATTACGTATGTATTTGCACAATCATCGTAACAATCTTAAATTTCTCTCACTTGCAAATGTCGTGTAGCTACTTGGAAATATTTGAATATTATTTGAATTTCTTCACGATGTCCTTTAAGGTGTAGATCCATAAATGGTATAGCGTTCTTTAAAAATAAATCGACAAAATTTCTGCCATACTTCAATGCGACAGCCAGAATGGCACGCTTTTGGTTATACTTTATCACTATTATCAATTGTCTCCAACATCTCGCAATCTTTGCCAAATATTCAAGTTTCATTTCGATCGATTCAAAACCCCGTGACTTATCGTTCATCAAGTCTACCAGCTCCATCGAGACGACTTTATAAAAATCGGGAAAATTTGTCGTGTTGAGTAACGGCATTTCCCTCAAGATCTCTTCGTCGCCAGCTTCCAGAGCGGGAAAAATCCTTGAAACATAATAATCTATTCTTTCCAAATTATCATCGGCATGTTGGATATCGTTCTGTATCAGATAGGTTATTGACGAAGAGTTTAGTTGCTTTGCGTCCTTCCATTCACGGGAGGCAAATTTTTTGGCTAACATGCTGATAGTTGTTATGAATTCTTTGGGGTCAGATGCCATTTCTGTGATCTTGCAAAGTATCTTGTGATAATAGATTGCAAGTTTGCCAGTAGATAGACTATCGGCAAATATTTCGAAATATGTAAATGCTTTATTCGCAGCTTGCTGGATTGATTGAGGTTGAAAAGTATCGTTGCTATTGTTATTATCCGTTTTATAAAGGTGAAAATGTGATAGCAGCCTAATCGCAGTCTCTTCCTTGTCTGGGCTCGTCAAATCAGGCCAAGAAAACACCCGATAAATTATCTCCAAAATTAATTCCATACATTGATTAATTTCATCGATTTCTTTCTGCTCATCCATAACCATATCCCCTTCATTTATTGCCTCGAATTGCTTTAATATTAAAGGCAATGTTTTTATTACGTGCTCAATTACTTCTGATTCACTTTGTCGTGAAATCAAACTGAGCCCAGGATCGATATCGAATTTTTTCGATTTTTTCGCGAAAAATGGGAGATTGCTTGTGGTGGAAGATGATAGTTTGTATTCGAGTTTCCTATCAAGATCTTTTAATAGATAAATCATCTGAGATACACCGAGTTTTGGAATTTGCGAACAGTTGTTTTTTTGATTGTCGTCATCGAGATTCATATTTCCTGGGTCATTTATGAAATCCGCATATTTGAACAGATAAAAGACATGCCATTCGAATTCTCTCATAAAAGGTCGCAAGTCTGCTAGAGTTGTTTTAGATGTCGAGTCTCCTGAAGATTTGATTTTTTCTCCTTCGTCTGCATGCTGGTTTTGCCTTGAACTTAGAGCCTTTCTTTTCCCAAGTACGGCTGGACGTCTTCTTGTTTTATTTTGTTGTTTGGTGTTATCGCTTGCCTGCGCCGCCGGTTTATTTCTTTCAATGACAATATTTCTACGTTCCACCCCGATTTTCCTTGTTGAAGAACTATACCCGATAGGATGAAATATGGAAGAATTGGCTAACTCCTCCTCAAGCTTTTTCTCCAATTTTTCAACATGCTGTAGCCTCGCTATTACTGTTTCTATGCAAAACGAACGGTAAGTTAATATGGATCAAACCAAACCAAGTAAATGATTTATACTCACTGTGAAAATCTATATCAGAATGATCCTCAGAGAATGAATTGATTATTTCTCGAAACCTATAAATAGTTTAGTATAAAAAAATTATCTATTAATACTCAGCATCCAAGTGTACCACTTTTCGAACTATCTAACTTAAAAATTCTCTACTTACCAATTGATAGCAATGAATAACGAATTACAAATTACATCTTGAGTCACGTTTGCAAGATTATTTGATTGTTCAGACTAATTTATAAATTAATATGATTAATTAAAAAAATAATGCAATACATCACGAGAAAAAAACTTATATTACACTTGCAACATCTTCATCTTTCTTGTACATTACGATTCCTGAGCCTAATAAAGCATCGATCTCATCCAATGAATTCTTATCTGCTTTCTCGCATGCTTGCATCAGTTTGAACATGGAACTAATACACATTATCCATTCGCTCCGATCGGCCACCAGCTGTCGACAAGCGTTAATGTGTGGTGCACAGAGCATAGGGTAGATGTTGATCAAGACAGATTCTTTCGTCTTTTAATAGCAAACAGATGAATTAATTGGAAGCGAGACATGCAATTCTCAATAGAGATGAAAATACACTAAAATCTTACCGTTTTTTCCGACTCCACCCACATCTCAATAGGTGTACTTTCTGTAAAGACGCCATCTTTATCATACATCCATATTTCAATTGGTAAATTTTGCAAGTAACTTTTTTTCTTATGTAGATCGTTGATTTCGTCGAAATCAATCACGTAGATATCTGTGAATTTTGAAGCCATTTTGTCTTTGATCCAAGTTTCAATTCTACTATCAAGCCAGCTATTTGAGATCAAATACGCCAATTCGTCATAAATTAACGAATAGCATCTCTGAATTTATTGTTAAACAAAAACTTTAATGCAATTTCATCGAGTAAATCAAGACTCTATAAATATAAGACTCGGTAGCTTACTTTCGATTCAACGATATTACTTATAAGTTTCTGAAGATTTTCCAATGCAGAATTTAATAATGGATGTATTCTAATTTCATCTATCAAAATATCGAATGGGATATCTCAATATAATAAGAAAGTTCTAATTAAATAATATATACAATATATATTTACCCGAGCTTGAAGCTGATGAAGGATTAAATTTTTGACATTCTTCTTTTGAACCCATTGTTCGCACCAAGGTCAACGCGCCAATAACACCTATTTGTTTATCTTTCTCAGAAGGACACGCTAATCGTTTTTGAATCACAATGGAGAATTCAGCGAGTAAACCACCCCCACTAGCTGTTCCAGAAGTAGTATCTTCTATGACCTCCTATATTGGTTATTAAGCGAGGTAACACGATGAGATATTTCCCTTAGAGAACTACAGACAACAATATGCTATAAATACCTCAATTGCCAATATGCTGATAATCTCAAATAATACGCGTATTTGATCAAAACTCAAATTATCCAGAAAATCCAAGATTCCCTTAAAATAAACCGCAAAGTAATATAATTTCTTGGAATCTTCTTTAACCAATGCAAGTAAGACCGCAAGCGCAGAATCTACTTCTGCCGGCAATCCACTCCCAATATGTGTAACTAAAGACCATACAATCTCTTGTTGATGCTCTAACTCGAATACTTTAAAGCAACTTTTGTAAATGACAGATGCGGCACGTGATATTTGTGAGTGTTGTTGAGTTGAGCGAAGGAGGGCCTCGGAAAGAGATAAAATTGATTTGAAGTATTCAAATAGTCCTTCCGAGTGACATGTGATAGTTTCTTCTAGAATTTGTTGAGTTATTAATCCACTACTGATTTTTTTGCGAAATATGGGTTCCACTTTTTTCTTCATTGAGCGAAACGAATGTACAATAAATAATACTAAGATATCGAGAATTTCATGTTCCGACTAAATGCAATAATTAAAATTGTGAAAACTTGATAAATAATAGATGTAAATTTTTGACGATAGCTAGCTAATTTACCGGCGAATTCAATTCAGTAATTATTTTCAACCAGGCATCTTTGACAAACTTGTGAAATTGTATTCCAGTTTTGATTGACTCAAAGATTAAGGTCTCTGGCATATTCTCTTTCTTAGATTTTCCAAAACTTTTGCTCTGTTTGTTCATCTCTTGAAGTTTTGCGATTGATCGGAAATCAAGTTTTTTACGAATACTTTGGATAACCTAGAATATAATATAACACCATTAATTAATTAATTTTCATTTTATATATTATCGAACAAGAAAAAGGAATTCCATAATCAACATATGTACGTCTTCAACGTCATCGGGAGTAACAAATTGCAATAGAAATTTTAAAACAATGGGTAAATCGGCCAAGTCGGCAGATTCTAATCGTTCAATTATAACATTGCGTAATTCATTGATTGAGTTTCCATGCATTATGAAATTCGAGAGCGCGTCAAGGATAGGCACTGTTAATTGATAATTTTCTTCCATCAAAGTCTTGAGTTCATCAATGATTACCTGGGGATATGATCAATATAAACAATTAAAAATAAATAATAAATATAAGAGAATGTTATTATACATACTTTATGCTGCGAATCATCATCAACTATTTCAGGCAAATTTGTTATGATTTCTCGTTGTATACTTATAGGTGTTATTGAGATAATCTTAAAAGAATAATTAGTCATTTAATATTAAGTAAATAAATGCAATGCTGCATCATTTTATAGTTTGCTTCTCTTACCTCTAATATTTTAGATGACAAACGATCAGGTTCAACAATGTATCCAAGCCATTTCAGTTGATGTATAATCAATCGTGGAATAGGTGAACAAACAGTCCTATAAATTATTATTATTATATTTGATATAAATATGCAAATGATGTTGATTAATTTATACAAAATCGTTCATTAGACGTACTCATTGTCTGAATCTATTATAAACCCCGGAAGTTTTTCCAGTAGAATATCAATAAGTCTCGGTTGCAGAAAATCGATCGATAACAGCGCTTGGATGATACTGTTGTTTGTTGTAACACTATAAAAAACGTAATATGAGTAGATCCTTTCAAAGATTCTTAAAAGAATATCACTATTACACACAGTTTCGCGCTTCCATTGATAATTGAAGGTTGTAAGCACGCCTGAAATTGTGCATTGTCCTCGATATGGTCTTGTAATGACTCAAGAAACTGTTCAATCAACGAATCGGAATATTGTGGGTGATTCTTCAATTTTTGGGTAATTCCGTATAGGAATATCGAAGGTTCAACCACTTTAACATTTTTAAGGAGATTTAGCATACACTCATATATGTCTACCCTAAATAATGCTGTCAATCAACTCAAATTTATCTATTTACCCAACTTGTTTAATTGTCCTTGCGTGCCAAGCTGCAGTCCAGATTCACTCGTTAATGAGTGAAATATTGATTGTTGAACATTTTGTTCACTGATTTCAACTAAGGAAAGTTAAAAATGCTTGATATTCACTATTCTTATTCTTAAATACACATATAAATATATATATATAGATAGATATTCTTCAACTCTATTATTATTACCTTGAGACATGTTTTACGTATTTTCAAAGTAAACTTATTTTCCCTTGGGGACACGAGAATTTGAACGCGTATCAAAATAAAATTCGAACGCGTTCTGATCAAATTTGGCATGTGACGTAATTAATAATTTCTTAGCATGCTTCAAATCATAGAAAAATTAAAAAGAAAATAGTTGTCACACAAAGAATAGTTTATTCTAATGGATTATTACATTTTCTAGAACCAATACAAATTTATTATCTTAATGACCGTGACCATCATCTTCACCTCCTTTCTGTTCAGGCTCCACCTACACGCAAAAGGCAAAAGTTGATGAATTTCTTGCAATAAAAATAATAGAAAATACAATTATTTGTAGTAACCTTAATCATGTCATCAATTCGAAGGATAGCAATAGCTGCTTCTGTAGCGGATTTAAGCGATTTAATTTTTGACATAGCTGGCTCAAGCACACCAGCCCGAAGATTATCCCTAATCTCGCCTTTAAGAAGTTCTAGCCCGTAGTACTTTAGATTTTTGGTCGGATCATCCGGATTTGCGTTCTGAGACGCATTATGATAGGCTCGTAGTTTAGCAACCAAATCAATTGAATCTTTGGCTGCATTTACTGCAAGGGTTTTCGGGATTACTAGCAAAGAATTAGCGAATTCAGCTATAGCAAGCTGTTCGCGTGTACCCTACACATAGATCGCACAATTCGCACAATTTTTAATATTATATCAAAAATAAAAACAAGATGACTGAGAAAGATAAAATACCAATGTAGTGGCAAAATTTTCCAAATAAATACTAAGTGCTGTTTCAACAGCGCCACCACCTGGCACCACGCTTCCACTTTCTAACGTTCTCTTCACAACAGACAGGGAATCGTGTAAAGACCTTTCCATCTCATCAAGCATAAAGTCATTTGCACCACGTAAAATAATAGACGCTGAGCTTTGAACTTTTGTCCCTTTGATAAGTATACATTCGTCATCGGAAATGCGTTCTTGTACGACTTCATCGGCTGCACCGAGATATGAAGATTCAAACGTTTCCTCTCCATCGAGATTTGCCAGTGTCGATATTAAGGTGGCTAAAAATTAAAGTGTATCAAGACCAGAGATAATAAGAAAAATAGACTTGGAGAAAAAAATGAATGAGCGATAAATACCGCCGGTAGCTTTGGCAATTCTTTTCAAGTCATCTTTGAGACAGCGGCGGACAGCTATTGCACCAGCTTCCACAAACATCTTGAGACAAAGATCATCAATTCCTTTGGTAGTAAGAATTACATTAGCCCCAGCCGAAAGAATCTTTTGAATTCTTTCCAAGGTTATAGTCGCTTCACTATATAAAATAATCAATGTGATTATTATATGTTATTTGAGATATCCGAAAGAGATAATATCTGACCGTTTTCGAATTTCTTCTAATTTATCAGGATCATCGACTGTAATTTGGACTCCAAGATGCATTCTTGCTTTCTGCAGATTCATATCAAGACATGCAATTTTCGCATTTGTGATCTTTGTTTTCATTGCTAAGAAACAAATTATTGATTCATAAGAAACATTATATGCAAAGAATCACACAAGTCAAATCTAAATAATTACCCTGTGATGCAACGGTACAATTCAACGCATAACCTTTGACCAATATTGATTCCCGTGAACTTTTCCCATGTGCTTTTAGAATATTAACAGCCTTGACGGGATATTTGGTTTCTCCACGAGAATTTGAAGATTTTACAGATTGTATAGCATCAACCACAATATTCGCAAAGAATTCATCCTCACTTTAGATAGGATCGTAAGAGACGAACAAATGATAGAATTAGAAAATTGTGATATACATTTTTTTACTAAGCTCAGAAATAGTTTACGTACGTTCCAATTATTTTGCTTGCCATACTAGTTTTGGCCACATTAACTAAGCATTCACGTCCAAGTGTATCAACTTTAGCGGTTAAATGATCTGCAATATATTTGCATGCTTCTTTACTAGCTAACCGATATCCAGTTATAATAGTTGTCGGATGTATTTTATTTTTCACTAGTTCATTAGCTCGGCGAAGGAGCTCAGCTGCAATGATCACAACAGAAGTAGTGCCATCGCCGACCTCTTTATCTTGTTGTTGGGCAAGTTCCACTAAAACACGTCCTGCAGGGTGCTCTACTTCCAAAAGACTCAGAATTGTGGCGCCATCATTAGATATAGTAACATCCTATTCGTTAAGTATGATGAATTCATATTTTTTTTTACTAGAATCTTAGACAATCAAAAGATAAAGGAAACTATAAATTTAACCTTAAATTATTACCCCAATATCGTCGACAAGCATTTTATCAAGCCCGACCGGTCCTAAGGAGCTTTTTACTATGTTGGCGATGGACATGGCCGCCAACACTAGAACGTACGGGTCAGAACAAAAATATTGTAAATATTAGATTAAAGACTATGTGAAAGACGAGAAACATCACATTTTTCAGATGGATCATTTCATTTTGAAAAAATTACATGGCCTCATTGAGACTACAAAATCCCTATCTTTCGAGCAGGCTAAAACTAACAATGCAATATTGTTCGTATAGACATTTACCTACCATTTTGATTACGAACTTCATTTCCTGAAGTTCTTTCGCCACCTAAAAAAAGCGAAGAAGATCGATCGTGCGCAAACATGATAAAAGTTCCTTATGTGCGTTGGGTGAAAGTGTAAACTTTTCAAAAAAGATCGATCGCCGTGTACATCAATTCTTATTTATTTTATTAATTTATTTCTGGTAACTTCTTTTATCGTTATCGTTATATTTTTTTCATTATGGACTATGCAACTGCTCAGTCAAAAGACTTTTCCTACTCATTTTTCTTGACGAAAGACATTGATTTGTTATTACCTGTTAAAATGTCAGCTAAGACATCGATTTGTTATTACCTGTTAAAATGTCAGCTTTGGGCCAAAAATTCACCTTTCCTTGTCAAAGGCTGGCTAATTAGCGCTTTTACTTTCTTATAGAGCGACTATTGAGGGATCTCGCGAAAAGAAACCGTTTACAGAGTTGCTTGAGAATCCTGCTCTTAAATTTACTGGACTTCAAACTAGGTAAAAGTCAATGTACAAACTGATTTAAAGTGTAGAACCGTCCGTTGACCAAATGCTATTATGATTTTACAGTGATTACTCGGATATATATGTAACATGTCAGATTTTCGCTGAGAATAAACCATTAACTGTGCCGATACAAACTTCTTACAAATCTTTCGAAAATAGATGGGCGTAAGTTTGCTCATTTTTATTTGTTTTTGAGTAATCAACGTCATATTGAATTGATCTTTTTTTTTATTCAATGAAGATGGAATGAATGGCTAGTGCTTCCAATTAAATTTCGTGATCTCCCAGTCACCGCACAGATGGCACTCACTGTCTGGGACATCCAAGGTCCACGAAAAGTAGATCCCATCGGCGGCACCACATTTCGTCTGTTTGGAAAGAATAAGTAAATTTCCATTCTTTTATTAATGATGTATGGCTCCACCTAAATCATACTCGTTAATAAAGCACTTAATCAAGCATTGCGCATTGCCACTTAATAGATATCATTGTTTATGAATACTAATAATGTTTTATGATCATTTTTGCTAAAAGTTCTTTGAAAGAAGGTAAACACAAGTTATATCTATGGCCAGACCAGGAAGCTGATGGATCTGTACATACGACAACGCCAAGTAAAATTTTTGATCGAGGGGAAATGGATCGCTTGGAAAAGGTATTAAACTTTATTAAGTTGGGTAGTCGAAAAACTTGAGCAAATTTTAATTTTTTCATATTTTATGAAATTAGCTTATAAAGCGATATGACAAAAATGATATAGACAGGCTCGAATGGCTAGACAATTTAGCTTTTCGTCAAATAGAAAAAATAAATCAGGTTAGCAAACATCTATCTATGATGATCTTGTCTTTCTTACTAATACAAAATAAATAATCGTAAAATTTATTAGCGAGAATCAGCAAAATCAAAAAAACTGTATCTTTACATAATACTGCCAAAATTCGAAGATTTTCCAGCAATTTTCAGCGAACCGGTGAGTATTATGACCAAAACTCTGTATTATTCAATATTTAATAATAACTCCAGATTCATATGTATATATATATCAAAGGAATACGAACTATCAGTTGCCCCTCCTTTATCCACTACTACAGTCCCAAATCAACTTGTTCCTTCAACCATAATTGATTCTAGCATGAATATTATTGTTGATCCGGAAATCACTCATGAAAACCCCGTTGAAGCCAAGCATAGACGTTTAGTCAGAAGTCATCGTAATGGGCCTCTGGATCGAGATCTTAAACCTAACGCGAAAATTCGAGATGAATTAAATGTATTTAATTTTAATTTATTCAACATAAAAATATAAATAATGCCTTGATTAATATTCTTACTATTCACCAGCAAATCTTAAAATATCCTCCTACTCAATCTTTGAAAGCCGAGGAAAAAGATCTGCTTTGGAAGTTCAGATTTTATTTAACACGTGATAAAAAAGTATTTTCAATTTTACTTTTATAATATTCTCTCATTCGTTACTTTTTTTATAGTAGTGTTAATGATTTTTTATTAGGCACTCACTAAATTTTTGAAATGTGTTCTGTGGACTGATCCCACCGAAGCAAAACAAGCAGTCGATCTTTTATCACAATGGGCTGATATTGACGTAGATGACGCTTTAGAACTATTAGGTGCCAATTTTATAAATCGTGCGGTTAGAAGATACGCAGTTCGACAACTTCAAAAGGCTGATGATGATGTATTTTTTTTTGTTTAAAAGAATTAATGACAAATTCTTGATAATTTAATAAGAGCAAAATGATATTGATGTTGATAAATTTTTTTTGTTTTGTTAGGAACTTCTGTTATATCTCTTGCAACTTGTACAAGCATTCAAATTTGAAAATATCAGTGAAAAATCAAGTTCAACGAATGAATCCAGTTTGGTTTCATTTTTAATCGATCGAGCTATAAAGAATCCTATACTGGGAAATAATTTTCATTGGTAAATTCTTTTAAGAAAGTTAAATCATAACTGTTTTTATGACAATTGGCTGAATAATAATTTTCTAAATCTTTATCTAGGTATCTTATGGTCGAATGCGAAGATAAGCTTTTTGGGAAAAGGTACGCGAAAGTTGCCTTTCAATACATGACTGCTATGGAAAAGGTATTTAATTGCTCGTAATGGAAAATCGATTTTATAACATTAAATGTTATCCATGAAAATAGAAGTTGAACATTATTATATATGTTCACATAGAGTCCTTCAGGAAAACAGCGTCGTGAAATACTGAAACGACAAGGGTACCTCATTGAAACATTATCAAAAATCTCAAAAAGTATTTATGATTTGAAAGATACTAGACCTAAAAAGGTAATCATCATTTCTTATGCACATTTTATGATGAATCTAAAATAAAAAGATAAATACATAATTTTTGTTTAGATTGAAATGCTTAGAGCTTCGATAGCAGATCCCAAAAATGGACTTTTATCTTTCCCACCTTTACCGTTGCCATTAGATGCGGGCGTCCAGGTTACGGGTATAATTCAAGGTACATTAAATAAGAAAAATCATTGTTCGCAACATGATCACTTTTATTTAACATTTCTATTTTTAAATGATTATAGAAAAATGCACCGTATTCAAAAGCAGCTTACTTCCTTTAAGTCTTGTCTTTAATTGTGTGGATAACACGGAGTATCCCGTGAGTTTGCCATCATGTTTCAATTGCCGCTTTTTAAATAATGAATCTTTCTGAAGTTTTTACTTCTTTGATAAAAGATAATCTTCAAAACAGGCGATGACCTTCGTCAAGACCAACTTGTCATTCAAATTATCACGCTTATGGACAAGCTGTTACGTAAAGAAAATTTGGATCTTAAGTTGAAACCTTACAAAGTATTAGCAACAAGTTCAGATCACGGCTTGATGCAGTTTATACCTTCTTCCTCACTGGCAAATATTTTGAGTGAATACAATGGAAGTCTCTTGCTATATCTCAAAGCTCATCATCCGGACGAAAAGGCACTAGCGACTTATGGCGTGAATCCGGAAGTAATGGATACTTATGTGAAAAGCTGTGGCATGTATATAATTTTCTTTTCCATGGATCTATCGTTGTTTATCTTATTAAATTTTACATTATTAATTCGCAGCTGGTTACTGCGTCATAACTTATCTTTTGGGAGTTGGAGATCGTCATTTAGATAATTTGTTGCTTTCTCCTGAGGGTATGTAATAAGTTATTTCTATTTAGTTACAAAATTTATTTTTATACATAAAATTCTTCTCTTTAGGCCATGTTTTCCACGTTGACTTTGGATTTATTCTTGGACGTGATCCAAAACCATTCCCCCCTCCTATGAAGCTCTGTAAAGAAATGGTAGAAGCAATGGGCGGTGCAAATTCAAGCCACTATCAACGTTTCAAAAGCTTTTGTTATGTAGCATTCAATATTCTAAGAAAAAATGCAAACTTAATTCTAAATCTTTTCGCATTGATGGTTCATGCTAATATTCCGGATATTAAGATTGAGCCTGATAAAGCTGTTTGGAAGGTAATCTATTCATCAATATGTTTTTTGTGTGGTGGATCTCGTTTGTATTCTTTTATTCTTTGGACGTTTTAATAGTAATAATAGTCGAAAATAATCATATTTTTAAGGTTCAAGAAAAATTTCGCTTGGATCTTACGGAAGAAGAGGCGATTAAGTTTTTCCAGAATTTAATAAATGATTCCGTTAGTGCACTCTTTCCACAAGTTATTGAAACTATCCATAAGTGGGGTCAATATTGGCGTAAATGAAAATACAATCTTTTGAATAGCTAATTGTTTTAGATTTATTTTTATCAGTATTTATTGTGTATGAGTTACAAATTTTTTCTATCACATGTTATTTTTTTTATTAACATAATAAAATCTACGTTAAATACAAACAAAACATTAAATATTAAATAAGATTACTGTAAAGATATTATGTAGTGGCTTGATCTTTTGAAACACCAAGATCCTCCCTCTTGGCAGTATTTTCAGAAACACTTATATTATTTACCAACACCTCCAACTCATTTGTCGGACCTGTAATTCCCTCCAAATTTGACAATTTATGCGTATACAAACGAATGTCCACCAGAAGTCTATTATGAAATGCAAAGGATGCTGTCAGAAATCGTGATAACAACAATTATTAATAACGAACTTATAGAGACAAACCTTTTTTTTGCAGTCAAAGTAGATATTTCAGTTTGAGAAATCTCCTGTGCCAATTTAGCGTTGAATGAAGCAAAAACCTCGCTCATCACTTTCTAAAATATAGTGAGATGGCGTGTGATAGATTATTTAATAGACAAATCGCTGATCCAATTGATTTACAACAAAAATTATTATGGATATTTTACCTGGACAATTTCCAACGGCAGAAATTTTCGTAATACCTTATGCAAAATCAGTGTTTCTTTTATTAATTTTTCCATATATGAATTAGGAGTATTTTCATTTGGTTCATTCCATTTTACCGCCTTTTAATATAAAATATTGCAGGGAGGTTAAACAACCGATTCATTACCGTAACCACAATAAATATTTCTATTATTCACACCTGGAATGACTCTAAATACACACTAAGCCTTTGATTCATGATTGAAACAAGTTTAGCGTGGATCTCTTTTTGGTGATTTATGTAATCCTGCGTTTAAAAAAAAGATAATATTTAGTTATATATTTTCAAGAAAAAAGATATTTTTTTTAGTAAGATCAACAAAAGGATTAAATACCCCTTTGATACGATCAAATTCTGTTAACATAACAGCTTGCTTTGCGTTTAGATTATGTCGTATGCATTCACGGATAAATGGTATCAACGAAATCATAAGACCAAGGGATTGTGATGCCAAAGCTATTAATTAAACCAATATGTTAAAAGATTATAGTTTTTGTTATATGCGTTAGATCAAAAAATTACCCAGATGTTTAGCTGTAATGTTTTTTAAGCCTGCAGATTCCATGGCGCCCGCGCCTAATATCACTTGGCAAGTTCTCGAGTTAAAAAGCTATTTTTTATTGAATACAAGTCAAAAGTTTAAATGCAATTAAAAAATAATACATAAATATAGAGAAAAAATTAATATCTTACATTCAAAATTTCCACTATCTTATTCATCGCGTCAGTCGTCAAAACAGGGATATTAGCCATACATCGTAGATACTCCCCTAGCGTTTTAAGTAACATTAAACTACACGAGACCACCACGAATTTTCTCTGATTCTCCATAAAGATGTAGACACTGCTAATTTCTGCATTACTCTTATTGTTGTTGTTGGTATTGGTGGTGGAGGTAGAAACTTGAGTAGACATGGGCGGAAAATTATAACTTGGCGAAAGCGGATTGGTTAAAGAAGGACCTGCTAATAAATTATCTTTGAATTCCATCAATCCAGATGATGATGCTGCGACTATCCTATTAACTATTCTTTGAAATTCAATTGGAACTTCTATTTGAACCCATTGTTCATTGTCAATACCGGATGCTGCAGAATTCATTTTCTCCATGTGAAAATGATTTAGAAACGATTTTGCCTTAAATCAATATCAATTATCGTTATAAGTAATTCCTTAGTGAAACTTACATTTCAAATGATTTAATGCTCTTTTACCTGCGACATAATTGTCCCTCGCAACCCAAAACACATACGACCACACAAATTTTCCCCTTCCAATATAAAAGTCCAAGTAACATTAAATAACCGATAGAAATCTTTGGGATTAAGTCGTGCATTTTGTTCTGCTCGCATTCCTATTAAATTTGCACATCGTACATGAACTAAATCAGCAGCAGCAAACAAAATTTCAGATGATTCTGTTATTAATTGTGAATAATTATCATTTATTGTTGATATGGTGGGGGTACTACTGCTGTTAATGGTATTAGTTATTGGTGTTTCGGTTTTTATTTGTTGTTTATTCGATTCAGAATTTAAATTAGCTGATGAATCTGCTGAAGTTATTGATGATGTTGACGAAAGTGCTTTCGTAGCGGATGATGCTTTTTGAAGCATTGATTTAATTCCAATTGTGAATTTTTGTGCCGCATAAAGTTTTGATTGTTTAGTAGTAGAGACATTAGATGATGATGATGGTGATGGTGGTTCATCTACTGCTTCTTTCATTTCACTCTGAGAATCTTTTATAGTGTTTTCTATTTCTAATGCCTCTTTTAGTCTCTCGCTAACCTTTTCTTCTTTTATATCATCATTCAATACTTCGATTTTTTTAGGTACTTCATCAACACCTGCAACGCGCAAATCTGCTAGAACTGATATCAAAATCTCGTTATAGACTGCAATTCGTTTCATTCCTACAAGTAGTACGGCGTATATTGCCAAAAAAATTTCCATAAAAGAATCGAATGTCATTCCCTTAAGCATTTTCGCGATATTGTTCATGCTATTAATTAAGAATAGAATATTTTAATTATCCTATAGATGCTTCGAAAAATTAATTCATTATGGTAACTATTAAACTCAATTTACGTCGATTCTCCTTTCATTTCTGCTTGTTGTTCCTCTTGCAAACTATTCATCGACATAAAGGAAGGATAATGCTAAAAAATCCACTCGAAAAAATAAAAAAATTTATTGATATTTATATGAGAATAATAAAAATTTTTAAAAAATAAATAAACAAGTAAATAAACACATACCTTTTGAATAATTTTCTTTATCTCTTTTAACAGTCGTTCTCGATAAATTTGTAAAGTTGTGCTAAGACGATTCATTTTATATAGTCCGACAATCAGGGGAGCTATCCTCTCTCTTAATTTTATCTCTTTATCAAATTTATTATTATTGTTATTATTAAGTTCGGATGCAATAGCCGCGACTTCCTTTTGAAGTTGTGAAGCGGATTGTTTATTATTGTATAAAGATCTTATAACTTCATCTTTATTGATGTTTTCAATTTGTTCATTTAAGTCAAGAAATATCATATTAAGCAAATCCGTCTCCGTCATAACACCAATCATTTTGTGTAGGTCAGCTAACTGATCTTTATAATGAATTAATGCCCTAACACCTCGAAGATCAAGTAATCCGGATGACTTGAGACTCTCAGAGACATTACTCAGGCGACGTATCATAGGATGCGGACTTTTCGATAATTTGTTATTTGATTTTTCGTCAAAGTGATCTTCAAAAACATTACCTCCTTTTAATATTCTGTCTGATTCTTCAAGCAATTCCAACGCGGAGAAATAATCCCCTTGTGTTAGTAATACTTGTATCATGGGTTGGGTTGAGCGTATCTCCGAGACCATTCTAATTCCTTCATGTAATTTACCCAAGTTAGCCCTCCGACGTTTCAATCGTACCACTTCAAGTCCTTGTTTTACCTCTGAATCTTCGATGGTTATTAATTTCCCGCGAAGTGCATTAATTTGTGCGACACATTCTAATGTTTCTGAATGTAAAGCTTGTAAATTCGAGAGAGCTGCGAAAAATGATGACGATCTTTTAGAAATCTCTTTAACAAGGTGAATCTCGACAGTATCAAGATAATGCGCCAGTTTTTCTTGAAGTAATGCATTCGTAGAGATTCCGGAATTCGATTCTATCACATCGGCTTGCTCACAGACTATATCAAAAGTTCGTGGATTTTCTAAATTAAAGTCTTCCTCAAAATATATTGGAGGAACTGACTCAAGTAATGGAAACTCTACTGCTGGCTCCTCTTCCTCCCGTGGAGTATTTTCAGCAAGCAAGGGTGAAGGTACATTTACAGAATAAGGATTTCTCGAGCTGGCAAGCCTATGTACAGGAACATCTTCTGATTCGGGTGACGGTAAATATGTTATATTACTCCCTAGTAAATTCGCTGTAGATATACTAGGAGAAATGACACTCGATGCAGAAGATGATGATCTGCCAATTTTTTGTCGTTCTGCACCTATTCGTTTATTGTGATGATACCTTTCGAAAACTGGTTCGATGGATTTGATATAACTCGCAAACTCAGCAGGCTTCACCTTACGAATAGGTGTATGGGGCACTACCGGAATGTCATATTTTGATGGCTTCGCAGAACTTGAATATGGATTGCTGTTATTAGGATTGTTTAACACTCCGGAGATGGCTATTCATATTTGTTTGTTCAATAAATAACGAATAAATTTAAGTTTATTAGTCTTATTTGCTGTGCCTATTAAATTCGTAGTAAAATCAAAATACCATTGAAGCCGATATCCTTTTTCAAGTTCACAGTTTCAAATAAATAGATAATCAATAAAAGCGAAATAACCCATTCATAAAAAGTTACTAGTCGAAAGTACCTTTGTTGTCCACGGGAGTGAAGTTTCAGACATTGTGCTGAAATTTGACGTGGACGAGTTTATGGAAATTCTTCGAGTGTGGTGATGCTTTCTGTTGTAGCCATGTAGAGACATTGTGGTGGAAACTCTTTGATTCACAGGTGAGATGTCGGTTGTCGTTTCATAACTACGTGTTGAAGAAGTAGAAAATCGGCGTGGTGTCGGTGGCGGAGAAGTCGAAACGCTAAATGGTGATCTTGGTGACTTTGGTGACCTTGGTGATTTTGAGACTACTACATCGATGCGTGTTTCGCTTTGAGAAGGAGTGTCTGACTCTTTACCTGGCACAGTTTGGTTCATTTTGATGTGTTGGTTCGGTGAAAATCTGCGAAACTTTTATAATAATAACTACCCAAAGTTTTTCGGCTGAAAAAAAGTTCAATCGACACAGTCAATTTTGGTTAGGATCAACGATCACAGTAATCACATGTGAATAATAATTATCATACGAACTTTGAAGTACAACTTCGCGAACTATTTTTTATGCTGATACGTCAAATGAATTCACCAAACATTGAAAATGCTGACCAGTGGAACGATTCTGAACTGTTTGAACAGGATGAACAGGATGAAATTCTAGAGGAAGATCAAAATCAAGAAACTGGCACCTTTTCGATTTCTTACCTCATATCAAGCACCAAGTTTGTCTTGTATGATGTCTCTTCTCACTGGGGAAAGGTATACATTAACATTGTGTTCTTTACTAAGGATTGGTTCATAAATTATCTTTTTCATTCATTCAGTTCCACATAATATCGGCACCAAACACATGTACATATACACATCAAACTATATATTTAGAAATTTTACCATTCGGTCATTTGTCCGCAAAATCCTCAAGCGGAATATAAACGTCAACTTGAACTCGCTGAAAACTATGAGCAATGGGCTGCTGCCGCTACTGAATTGGATCGTCTACAAGGTAAATTTTTTTGTTTAGCTAGGCTATAGAAAAACATTAAATTTGGTTTTTCGCTATTTTACTATTTTTGAAGGAAAGGATGCATGGAAACTTAACCCTGCTTCCGATGACTATGATTACGACTTATTACAAGCGCGTTTGATACAACTTCAACGAGTACGAAAATCCGGAGATGTATCGTATTTGATATTTCTGTTGCGTACATCATTGGCTAGGAATTTAGGAGACATGGGTCTGCCAAAGGTATAGTGACATATGCAAAATTTGATAAAAATCGATGGAAAATATATAATTAATTTTTATCTTTTTTTTTAAGTTATATGCGTATACAAATATCGGGACTAAAAAGCTTATAGAGGTGTACATACAAGAAGTTGTAAAAGATCTGAATTATATTTGTGATGCACCATCAGAAGAAATCACTACCAAATCGAAATTAGAATTTTTTACCAATATTAGGCAGTCGCTTGGTAGAACGGCACTTTTGTTGAGTGGAGGAGCTACTTTTGGTTTGTATCTCTAGTTCATTCAAAATAAATCCGTGTAGGAATTCTTTAACTTAATGATACTATTGTTATTAAAAAGGACTCACTCATCTTGGCGTAATAAAGAGTTTAAATGAATGCGACCTTTTGCCTCGCATTGTTTCTGGCGCTTCCAGCGGATCAATTATTGCAGCCCTCGTGTGTACGAAAACTGATGCTGAAATACCGCATTTTCTCGCGCATGCCTCTTCAGTGAATTTGGTAGGAACAAAGAATTTCCCCTAAATCTTCTTTGAATTATTTTTTATTAACTCTGAGAACTTTATTGTTTTAGGAAGTATTTGAAAAATCCTCTGATCCAGACACCTGGTTGAGGCGATTAATCAGATTATTAAAACAAGGTGAATAGACATTAGTTTTCTGTATTCTTCCCGGTTTTTTTTTTGTTTTAAATTCGTAAAAAATTCATTATTATTGAATTTTATTCAGGTGTGCTCTTTGATGTTGATATTCTTCGAGAATGCATGCGTGAAAATATTGGAGATATGACTTTTCAGGTATTATATCTATCTATCTATCTATCTTACTTCTGATATTTACTTGCATTTCAAATAATTTACCTCCGTTGTTCTTTCATATTAGGAAGCATACAATCGTACAAGGAGAATTTTGAATATAACTGTCAGCTCTTCTGGAGTATACGAAATGCCACGACTACTTAATTACTTAACAGCTCCCAATGTGGTATGTGATCGATTATGTAAAGCTCTTTATTTTCTTAATACTTTTTCTTGTTCCTATATTTAAAAGACTTACTTTGTGAACTTAATATATAATAAAATTGGATCGGTGGATGCGTCTCTTTTAAAAGTTGATTTGGTCGGCAGTGTAAGATTTATGTTGGATTAGATTTTTGGTATTATTTTCTCGTAATAATCATATGATGATTTATAGAGCAGCGTCGTGTTCAGTCCCTTTGGTATATAGTTCGGCGCCTCTAATGGCAAAAGATAAATTAGGGAAAGTTGTTCCGTGGAATCCTGAAGGTAACTTGATTGATTCTTTTTCTTATTATATTTTGACTCAAATTTCTTAAATTCGTCCCTTAATTATAAGGTGCACGCTGGATTGATGGCTCAGTAGAAAAGTAAGTTTAATTTTCGGAAAATGTTTTTACTTGTAGAATAAATAGAAATAATAATAATTATAATAGTAATCGTGTATAATCATTTTTCTAGCGATTTACCAATGAATAAATTATCTGAACTTTTTAATGTCAACCACTTTATCGTGTGTCAAGGTAATTAACAAAAAAAGCACACATTTATTATTCTTTAGCAATAATAAGATTATTAAAAAACTATTTTTATTATCTCAGTAAATCCACATGTTATTCCATTCTTGCAGACTAGTCTTATTCCGTCCTTTATAAACCGGTTTGTTAGCTGGCTTTTATTCCTGGCCATTTCTGAACTGCAGCACCGACTCACGCAGGTAAATTTTGCTGCTGTTATGAATAACTAAATTCTTCAGATTCTGATTCTTATAGTTCAGGGATTTTGATTCTTTATTTACCAATATATATATATAGTTAAGTGAATTGGGAATCGCGACGAGTCTCATATACCGATTACAGTCAATGATGTCACAGCGTTACTATGGTGATATTACAATAGTGCCACACATCTCTTACGCTAACTTTTTGAACCTTTTATCTAATCCATCCCCACAATTGGTGGAAGAAGCGACTCTACGAGGGGAAAGAGCCACCTGGCCTAGTATCCTTTTGTTTGTTTATCTTGTTGTCAATAAAAATTATCTATTAAATTCCCAAAATAATGATATATTTGACTTGACTACACAATTACCTCAAATTCAGAAATTTCGATAATCCGTAATCACTGTCATATAGAACTCACACTAGACGAGATGATTTATCGATTACGTTTGATACAGTTAAACGATTCGCTGGCAACACGTAATTCTGGTGATGATCATGATCTTGAAACACATCCGGGAAATTTGTCAGATAGCAGTAGTGCCGGTGGTAAATGTGGTCGTCGTGAACAACGCACTAAAAAAATTGTCCCGCAATCGTTGTCAATTTCTAAACTTGAGTAATGATTATTCATTATCGCATTATTTATAGAAGATTATTACATGTATTATTATGATATAAACTTTTCATAGAGTATCATTATTATTAAAGAAATTGTTCTTGTTCTCAAATGAATCTATATTCAGTCAAATGAATACAGAAGTTTCTACCGTCCCACCTGTGATGCAAGCCCCAAATGAATCTATTCTCCCTAATGTGGAGGCTTCTAACGCCTCACCCATTCAAGATCCAAGTGATGGTTCTTTCACTGTAACAAATGTGGAGGATTCTAATATTTCGCTTGAGCGAGATTCTTCAAGTGAATCTCACACTGAAAGGACCGAGTCCATCGAAAGTCAAATTAATGATAATAATGATAATATCAAGAAGGCAAAAGAGACAAGCGAGCCCAAATCTAACCCATATCTCACACACACATATAATAGCACAACTGTAAAGATGCGTGTATGGACTTCGCGACGCGTAAACTTCAATCACACAAATAGCGATGCCAACAAAATACTTGGCGTCGGTAAACTTAAAGAGAACACTCTAACAAAAACAAGAAATAAAAATGCTCGCAATACATATCCAGCGCAAAAGACACGTACTATTAATAATGATCCCAAAACGAAAAAGAATCTTGATTCACAAAAAAATAAATTCTACGGCAATTATGCGGGATATTATCGACGACGTAGCAATACAGCAGTTAAAGATGATCCTCGACTTGAAGTGTTTGACAAAAGTTTTTTTGAAAGAAAAGAAGTGCTGGATATTGGATGCAATTCTGGCGAGTTTACTATTGAAATTGGTATCTTTTCTTGAACAGGATTTCATTTAGAAATTGATCTCTTGAATAAATCGATTAATTAACATGCTGATTTTTTCTTCTTTTCAAGCGACACGTTTCTCACCCAAGAGAATTCTGGGGATCGATATTGATGAAAAGTTAATTGAAAAGGCTCGTTCTAATGTACACAAGAAAGATAACAATGAAATCGCGGGATCAAATGATAAATTCGAAAATGAAATTAATGATGAGAGTGAAAATTTATCTGGTCGAAGTAATACGGCTGAAATCGTAGGATCCGACAATGACATTACCAATAAAGCCGAGAATGATAAGATAGAAAAGAATAATGAATACCACAGCATACATTCAGAAAGCTTGGCATCTTCATCAGAAAAGATTCCAATGCCATACGAACGTTCTTTCCGCAAAAGAAACTTTCCGGCAGAAGGTGAAGTAGAGCCCAGCAGCTTCAGCACCGAGCAAAATCCTGCAAAAAAAATCAAAACAGAACAAGAAGATAAAACAAAAAATGCCGATTCAATGGTCGCTACTGTTTCTAATCAATCAACTTTGACTATCATTGCTGGATCGAGTAAAATGGAAACTGATAAAAAATCGTTCAGTATGAATGAATCTTTTCCATGTAACACTTGGTTTCGTTGTGCTGACTGGATGGAGGAAATAATTGAAATAGAGAAATACGACACGATTCTTGCGTACGTATCTAATTGAATTTTCAATCGCATTATAAATTGCGTGTTTTCGTTGACATCCTACATCTCATCTTCTAAAGGCTTAGTATAACTAAATGGATTCACTTGAATCATGGAGATTCTGGAATGAAGAAATTTTTCCGTAAGATATACGATAGTTTAAAACCTGGTGGCATTTTTATAATTGAACCTCAACCCTGGTCTTCCTATCGTAAATACCAACACGTTTCAGAGGTATTTAATGAAAACTAATCAGCTAATCGCTTTTATTTATTACATAAAGAACATACATAATTATCTCATACTTCATTATCTTTCTCTTATTCCATAATAATATAGACGCATAGAAGGAATTATAATAATGCAAGATTCTTGCCAACGGATTTTCACCGATATCTTATGAAAGAAGTTGGGTATACATCATGTCGCTTTCTAAATGAAGAGGAGGAACTAAAAAAAGGTCCGCTACTTTCCCTTGTTTTAATCATTTTTCCTTTCTTTTTTTTTTTAACTTGGTTGATTGACCATGTTTTAATAAAATCTTCTTTAGGTTTTCGTCGTAATATAATTGTGTATACAAAACGAAACACTCCATAACTATTAAAGATTTACACAAATTTTCTTAATTTTAATTGAGTTTAATAAGGACAATGAATTTATTATTAAACCTAATACTGAAAATATAAATATCATGAGCAAATAAACATGATTCAATTATAATATTATCAGTAAGTGCAAATAGGAATAAAAAACCAAAATAATAAACTCCCAAGTTCCTATCGATGAAGATGATTATGTGAGATCACGTGTATTAGCAAAAAATAGATTATTTTCAAGTATAATTGTTATTTTTATTAATGTTATTAGTAAATTAATGTTATTATTCGACATTTCTAAAACGCAGGTGAGTCTCGTAGAATCGAATGACCTGATTAATGTTAAATAAATTATCAGATCTTAACGATATAAGCATACACTCGCTGAATCAACCACCTATCTAACCTTTTGTGGACAACGAGCATTCACTTCACTAGCCGGATGTACAGTTCTATGTCCGTCCTTCCTAATAACACAATGAAAGGAATTCAATTAATCACTCTTCACTCTATCAATTCAACCAACAAAAAAACGCTTGGTCAAAAAAAGGATCCTACCAATTAACATAAATTAATAATGAACCATCATTATTATCACGTTCCACGGTCTCAACTTCGGCGACGTGGTCCTCCCAGTTCGTCCATTCAGGCGGAGGATACTCCTCATCAGAGGATTCTTGTCTTATCTCCTCATCATTATCAGCAACGCGACGAACTCTCTGCTTCTTCATGGGCTGAACTTTTCTCATTATAGTGGGAGGTCCTCTTGATGACCTTGATGTGGCTTTTGTGGTGGATCTTGAGGAAGCAGCAGCGGCAGACTTTTTTCTTTCAGTAGATGACCTTCTACCACCGTGTTTTTTCCAGTAATCTTCAATCAAATCTTTTGCATAACTTTTTTGGTTAATAATAATAATTGAGCAATTATTGTTCAATACGCGCGGTTGTGTTCAGTTTGCAATTGCACCAAAACTTACACGTCCTCCTCTTTTTCCCACGTATTGTCTGAATCAGGGTAGCCTTTCCATTTTAAAAAATATTGCAACTTGCCCTATATTCCAAAAAATCAATCACATCATCAAATCAATAAACAAGATCAAGAAATCAATACTTACCCCCTTTGTTATTTTATGATCCACAATTTTCTCCACGACATATTCATCCTCTTCGTCGCTGCTTCCTTCCGTGTTGTTAACCTCTATAGCTGCTCGGTCTGCATAATCAGAGCTGTTGCCACCGTTATTATTTTCGTCGTCCACATCCATGTAGTCTCCCTGTTTTTCAATTTCAGCTACCATAATTTTACAACAATGATGATAATAGGATGGTTGTATGTATCTTGCACAACACACACAACACTATTAACTGTAAAAGTGGAAAAGTGTTTATTTATACAATCAATATGCGTAATTCTCCGACTGTTTGTGTAAAAAAAAAAAACCCCCCAAAGGAGAATAGGTTATGTGTTTGCTTGAGCACTCACGGAAAGGAAATAAATTAGCTAAATTCAGTGGTTATGATACAGTTAGTGAAATAATTTCTGACAATGTAAAACACACGAGACAAAGAAACCTACCAAGGCGCGTCAAAAACTTTATTGCTCAAGTTCACAAATGACACGTCATCCAATTGGTAAACGTCGGATTTTTTTAAATCACGTTTTATTTAATTAAAATAGATCAATGAAATCGATATTACATTAAATCACTTATATTACATATTACAAGTATGATGATTTTCAAAAATATTAAAAATATTATAAAATTCAATAGAACCAGGGTCCACTTCCTATATTAATAAGGGGAGAAGTAGTCAAAAGTTCCTGATGAATAACATTCAATGCTTTTGTAGCATCCTGTTCATCAATAACGCACGAGATATTGATCTCGGATGCACCCTGCGATATCATCTCAATGTTGATGCTGGCAGCTGACAACGTGGTAAACATTTTAGCGGCAATACCGACCATGTTTTTCATTTGTTTTCCGACTAAGCTCAAGATCGCTTGATTCTTTTGCATGGAAACCTTAATTTTTATATAGAATTCATTAATCAAAAAATACAAATATAAATAAATGATATTTATTCATAACAAATAACTCACACTTCCAAACTTTCGCAACTCTCCTATAGCATTCTGTAAATCGCGCTCGCTTACTTCAACGCCAAGCGCCATCGACACATGAACTTCACTTGTCGAAATCAAGTCCACCACAATCCCATACCTATCCAACGTAACAAATACATTCGCAAGAAAGCCATAACTCGCCACTTTACTATGCGAGTGTATATTGAGGATGATGATGTTGTCTTTAATGGTGACAGCGGTTGGCTGCCGCCGTGTCATGTCGTAATAATACCCATTTTCGAACAATAATCGAGGAATAGGCGAAGTTGTAGTATGTCCATTTTTGGGTAATGTTACAATGGCATTGTCATTATTAATGTCACCATTATTTTTTTTGCCATTGATGATTTCTATATTGGGAAAAATTATGGTTCCATGTCCTTGTGAATTTTTCACGTTTTTAATACGAATCGGGATTTTTGCGCGTATTGCTTGTTTCATAGTAAATGGATGTATCACCTCAGATCCGTAATACGTTAATTCGGCTGCTTCTTCAGGTGTGATAATTGGTAAAAGACGCGCTTGTGGGACTTTACGTGGATCTGCGGTGAATATACCATCGACTTCTTTCCATATTTGAAGTTCTTCGGCATTTAATCCAACTGCTACAAGAGCAGCACAAAGATCGGTGTATCCACGTCCGATATTGCTTAGTAAGCTGCCTGGGACAGTGCCAAAAAATCCTAAGTTTTTTGTGGTACCATTAATAATTTGCATCATTAAGTTATTTTCGTTTTGATAAATAATCTCTAACTTACCTGTCAATACTGGGACACTGTTTCCACAATTGATTACTTCCCGTGAGAGACGATTCGATAGATAGTCGTAAAAGCCTTGATCGAGGTTATTAGAATTAAACTCTTTTTCGACAATGTTATCCAGGTTGACAAATTTCGCGTCAATACCCTAATTGATATTAATGAAGATGAGTATAACGTAACGAATATGAAAGCACATTTTGTTATGACAATTCAGCTTTATGCACCTTATCCTTCAAGACGGCAGTCACGATACGACATGATAATTTTTCGCCAACACCGACAATGTTATCTTTGGATTTCGGTGAGATTTCCCCAATAATCTATAATAATCAATAAATAATCGATCGAAAAGTTAATAAATAACAGAAGCATACATGGCAATCAGGGAAAAGCTGTAATTACTTGTGCGGCTTCCAAAAAGTTTTGAAGTTTTTTACAATCGTGACGCAACTCTTTTTCCAAATCTGCAAGAATTTCCGGGTCACGAATATACCCTTTTGCTGCATCTATGTGATCTTTACAGATTTCGTGGACTATGTCAATGTGTTTTTTGGATGTGGAATCTCGAACATCTTCTGCGGCGCTTAATAATCTATTTGTAGTTCCTTTGGACTTCGTCTCCCCACTTCGAGCAGAACATACAATTACAACTCGTTTTGTGTCTAGATACGATCTAATTATAATTAAAGTGTCAGTTGATAAGGTAAGAAAAATTAATATCTAAATATCATTCGAAAATCAATAATAGATTATTCGGAAAAGATTGTATTATTTAGCAAGAGATCACATTCAAATAACAATTAATACCACTATTAGGTACTAGAGCATCAATTTCATTTTGTTCACGAGATGGTTTGGGGAACTTTGCAGAGTAATAAAATGTTCGAACTGTATCAAAGTGATTATTTATAGAAAAGAAGGAAAGATGCACAATATAAAGAGATACATTAATAAAGGTTCTTGCTTTACTTTCTTTACATGTACACATGAAAATGTTCTCTCTTGCACGAAATATCTTTAAATAACTGTGTATAAAAAGGATGTCAAAAATGCCTACTTTACAATATTTGCAATAGGTTCCAAAAATTTTCCTACACTAGTTCCTCCATATTTTTGAACAATAAATGGATGTTTTTCTTTATTAAAATCGAAAAATGAAGCGCTCGAGGCAGATTCTTTTTCTATTTGCAGTGCCATAGGTGTATATGTTTATGTGGTAGTGGTGGGTAATGTCTATCTAGTAAAAGCTGATAAATAAAGTTCGTCTAGCAAAATAAAATATATATGACCACAAAAAAACGATTTTGGATGACTCAGAAAAACTAACGATGCGCCACATTGAATATTTTCAATGACGCAAAAACAAAGCATATTGCGTTTTTTTTACTTTTTATTTCATTAAGATAAATTGCGTTTTATATATTCATTGTTTTTCTATAGTACCGGACAGCAAAAGACATCCGATTTAATGATTTTATATAACTTGAACCATAATAAGTATACAAAAAATTCTTCCCGCTATCGAAGGTATAATAATCAATCCCAGAAATCTTCATCTGCACGTGACTAGTGATGTGGCGCGTAATTATAATCTGTGCTTGGTTCTGATCACCCAATAAAACTTGGGAAATTTAGTATTCAAAACCTTGATAAAAAATTCCACCATCCAATAAGATCAGAGTAAGGTCAGGGGCTAACTTTCTCTATTTTTCGATCATTGATTGCAAATTTTGCCATACGGTTACTAATCTCAGTAAAATGCCTCGTTTTTAGGAACAGGTGGAAATGTACCTAAAAATAGAAATACGTTACACAATTCATTAAAGTCATAATTTATACATTTTAAAGTACTTTTTCACGAGGCTTGTGTAGTCTATCCGTCCTATGAAAGATGACGGGAAATTCTTTAAAACTTGAAGTTCTTGCTCAGCTGTACAGGAATATTTAGTTAATCCACCTTAATCCAACAACTTATATTAGTATTAAGTATGTCTGAAAATAAATGTTGTGCAAACTGTCTTGCTATCCAATCTTCTAGATTTCATTCATTGGGTAGAGAAAAATGAGAAGAGATCATGACTTTTGGTCTAGCAAAGATAATATTAAAAGAAGGTATTGTTCTATGCCATAAATATTATATGGATGAAGTTGTAAATCCATTGGAAAGACTGAAAAAAAGTAACAAGAAAGCAAAAAATATAGATGATCTAGAGGAAAAAACAGATATATCTAATGAGACAGGTAGGTTTGACAAAAAAATTGAGCTCTCTGAAGTTATCAAATTGATGATAAAAATTCTTTATGAAAGAGAGCATGTAAAAAAGGAAAATATAATTTATACATTTAAAGAATTGTGAGAATTACTAGTAAAAGATGAACCTAATCTTAAGTATTTTATTGAGCAACTTTATTTAATAGCTAGACCATTTACACGTACTGTTACTATTTTAAGATTATGCGTATATAATTATTTTAAAATGGTAATAATGACTGTGTTCACAGCAATTATTTACTTTTATAGATCCAAGAGGATTATATGACTAACTATTTCCTGAATAAGATAATATGTGTAAGATTTATAACTCACAAATTATAATTATCTTCTCAATAAGATAATTTATACGTGTTTTACTTATAATAAAAATACAAGTATCTTCTCAATAAGATAATATACGTGAATTTACTTTTAACAAAATACTTTCTCAATAGAGCAAGAAGAAAATAAGATAAGATATAAGATAAAATATATGTGTTTATTAAAGAAAAATACTAATTAA